CTGCAGCACAGCATATAGAATGGCACGAGCTGGATAAGAGAAAGTTTTATGTCATTGGTCCATCACTGTTCTTCTTTGTGCGTATGGTTGTATACCCTCCTGTTCTGATCAAAACACGATTGCAGTTACAAAAGAATAGGTCTCTTTACCGCGGAACTTTTGATGCCTTTAGAAAGATATACAGGTATGAAGGAATTCGTGGCTTTTACAAGGGATTCATAACGAATTCATTTACAATTGTTTCCGGTCAGATTTATGCAACATCCTATGAAATTATTCGATCGATGACTGCAGATTATGGGAACTTTACTCGTGGCCTTATTGCTGGAGGCTGTGCATCCTTTGCAGCTCAAACAATCACTGTTCCAGTAGACATCATCTCTCAAAAGCAAATGATTCAAGGGCAGGATGCATCATTGCAGGAAACTCTTGATATGAGTGGTAATGCAGCTAAAAACAAATTTAAAGGCCCAGTTCAAATTATCCGAATCATATGGAGAGAGAGTGGTGTAAAGGGATTTTACCGAGGGTATCTTGCTTCTCTTTTGACGTATGCACCAAGTTCCAGTATCTGGTGGGCTTCTTATGGTGCGTATACAGGCATTCTTACAGAAATGACACCAAGTGACATGCCAAAAATTGCCATCCAAGCCTTGTCTGGCCCATTAGCTGGTATAACTGCAGCAGTTTTTACAAATCCATTAGATATTGTGAGGACAAGACTTCAGGTATGAAATATTATCCAGTCTGCAAAGTATGGCAGCTCTAAATAAAGCTTTTGATTTTCACAGCCACTTTAGTTGCAGAAAAGGTGCCAATAATGCTATACTTTTGTATCCTATACATTACCCTTTAAGATATGAAAGAAAGAATCTTATAGGAACTTAATAACATCTTACACAGTATCCTGTTAAGAAAAAATTGCATTGTTGCAAGTTTTTAACTAGATCTCAAGTATTTCCAAGAACTTAGTGATAATTAATCTTGCTGGTTCCTGCATAAGATCCATAGGGCCTTATACCAGACCCTGAACAAGATCTTATAGGATTATATGATTTATTGGTCTCATGAGAAAAACCCTGACAAGATCCTAATGGAACCTTTTGATAAATCCTAATGGGGTCCATTGCAGTAACACCAGACCTGCTATGAGGGAGGACTGCCTACACCAGGGGGGGGAGGCATTGAAGCCACCACATTTGGAAAGAGTTTCAAGGAATAACTCAATCACTTACTCAGTTGTGTCACTTGCTCATATTTTCTTTTAGCACACTTGAATCCTGTTTGTGCACTAACAGGTCAAATTGTTTCTCTCAGGATTGCTGTCACTCTTGATTTTGCTTTTGTTGTTACTTTTCTGATTTTATCAGAGTAAACTATTGTTATTAAATAACAAACAATCCAGTGCACGAGTCTTTTACTGTATTCTGAGATATTTGCCACCAAATTTGTTTATTGCTCTGTTTTTCTTTAGATTGAAGGAGGTACATCAATACTGCTTGCTGCCAGAGTATTGTACGCTGAAGAAGGTGTCAGAGCTGTTTTTAAAGGTCTTTCAGCCAGAATTTTATCAACAGTGCCAACCAGTCTCATTATAATTGTTGGATATGAAACTGTTAAAAGACTCAGTTTGAAAGAAAGTGATTCAGTGAGCTAGCACCACTCTAATTAGACATGTTTTTTCTTGTTATTTTTTAACAAGGCTTTTATTAAACATTGGTGATTGATATCTCAACATTAATTGAGTAGTAAAATAAACTATCCTTTGCTTTAATTAAGGCAAGAGAGTCATGCAGTGAAAATTTTTTTAATTATTTTAATAAATTTTTCTTTTCATACCTGTTGGAAATGTGATCCAGACATTTAGGCACCATGATTGATGAAATCTTTGTTTAGGATCCATCATAGAAAATTTGTTACTCATTTTACTGTTGAGAATATGTATCTGTGTGTTTTTTCTTTTGTGCAAAACATAAAAATACATACACCATTTCTTATTTCTAACCAATACTTTTTGTTTGCTTACAGTAGGACTTTGGCTTTGAATTGTGTGGCTAAATATACCTTCTTTATTTTTTTAATCAATTCCTGCATTCTTATGTAGAAAGCAATTAACTTGCAGATTCTTAATGTCTTTTTGTGTGGCTTATTGTCATTTTTATTGTTGAAAGCAGAATGATTGTGCATACATATACATTTGTGCATGTCTTCTCAATTTTTCGTGTTTAAACCTGTTCACTATGATGTGCACTGCCAAAAAATCTAGTTGATAAATTGAGGAAGGTAATTACTATTGATTGCATAAGGTGTTGCAACTTTTGAAAATTCAAATCGGCAGTGCTAAATTTCTCGTTTAGGAGAAACCAGTTCAAAATCCCTTTCAGCGAGTATATGTAGATTATTTACCTATTCCTAGCCCAAAAATTGAAGGAATCTTTTCACTTGTTCAAAGATGACTGAGGTATCAAAGAACAAAGAAAACTTAGAAACAATCCGAAGGAAAAATTTAACAGTATCAAGTAGCAGTTAACTTCAAATTTAATTATATTCAGACATTTCTACAATACTCTTTATGAATAATTCAAAGTTTCTTTTAATTAAATTGTATTAACAAAGTGTGACAACATGATAGTGATAAATTACAATTCCAGAAACAAATATAAAGACTAACTAAATGTGACCTACCTTACTTTGCTAATACTTGCTGTGTATCAAATTAGGTTTGTTTTCATGTTTCTTGCTATTGTGCTTTTGTATTCCAATTGCGAAAAAAATTTAGTACATTTTTCGAACTTCAAAGTTCTTGGAAATGTTACCATTTAAAGTTAATAATGCACCATGGAAATGTTAACTGGTTTTCCCCCATTGGGTACGTAGTATAATAACTTGTTAAGGTTGCTGTTAAGTAAATGCAGGATAAGTGAAGAGATTGTGTTTACAGAAATACCACATCGCCTGCAAAGTCGATATTTTCAGAGCTACCCTGTTACTCGCAGTACATTAGCCACTTCACGCTTCTCTAGGGTTTGACCAATTTATGTTTCTTTTTCACCTTGCATAAAATTATTGCACTAGCACATTCCAATTAACTGGCACAGTTACGATTGGCTAGCACTTTAATTAAATAGCAAAACCAATAAAATTATAATTTTTATAAACCCATTCAAGTGAATAAATTTTCAGGAATACGAAAGGTAATTGCTACTACTCTTAAAATGGTAAGTTAATTCCCAACGTCAAGTGTACGCAATTATTTGTTCGTGCAAAGGCGTTGTTGAAGAGCGTTCGGAGGGGAGACAGTGCATGTCGGCCTTTGTCCGATACTTTTTGCTAATCTTCACTGGGAGGCTTCCTCTAAGTCTAATATCCTTTTATTACAGTTTAAACCCCTATATATTTCTAATTTTCACTTTCTATTAGAGACGAGTAAAATAGTCAGAGCGTGTGACCTGTGAGAGGGACGACTTCAAAACCTCGACGTCTCTCTGTCCTTACGATCACTGCAGTGTGTGTGAAATCACACGAACATGTCTTCACTAACAGCCTTTTGCATCGGGGGCTTTGGTAAAACTCGTGGTGGTGTTCTTGATGGTGGGGGTGTTCTGGAAGAAATGTTGTCTCTCTTCTCGGCAGTGGTTTTTGTTGGCGTTGGGGGCTCAGGCCATGAATCCATTTGTTGCCTTTTCAATTTGATTTCTCTATCGGGGACAGTTTCGTAAGCTTGATGGGATGAGAAGCTTCTGTCACTTTTCGCTTTCTTTACAGCCTCCATCGGGCTTGATACGACTTCAATATCGGATGTTGTCAATGAACGCTAAATTGATGATCGGAATATCAGAATGTTACATTACATTAGCACTAAATCATTACTGTTTATAACCATTGTCAAAGGTGCAAGTCTTTCACGAAAACACGTTTCAGGAGCAGACGGCCCGGATCGGTAGGTGAAGATTTCTTGGTGGGCAGGGCCTTCTTAAGACGAACAAGCAAATTTAAAAATGCTTTAAAATTTGTTTGATATCATAGATCTATTTCTGGCGTATAGTGGCCTTTTAAAACCTCCCCGATAAAGAGCTACCCTTTCATTCAATTATCAGAAACAGAAACAAACACTTGTGTAACCGTGTTTTTAATATTGCGGTTTTTTATTTTCTAGTATTTTAATTATATATTGTAATTAGTTTTTTATTGGAGGGCCCCTTGAAAAACAACTTATGTTGAAGGGCAACCCTCCCTAAACAAATCAAATATGAAATATGAAATAAAATAAAAGTGGAGGTTGTATCCAAGGACATTGTCCGTAGTTCCATAGAGGCCAGCTCAAAATTTTAACATGAGAAACATTTTCTTAAAATTAAATTTGCAAAGCCATATCTTGTTCAGCCTGCCTGTACCCTAGCCTATATGGAGTTCATGACCTGTACGAAAATAATGATCTAATACAAACAAGAACAAGCACAGATGTAGATCAGAAAAGAGTTGCACTGCAAAAACATCTGACATGACAAAAGATGCTAGTAACAAAATAAATTGCAATTACATTAAAGTTGGTTTGTTAGTAATTAATACCTTTTCCGATTGCTCTTTCATACTTTTCGATGATCCATTGCTTGAGAAATTTCCATTTCCATTTTTGACATCATCAGAATCGTCATACTTGGTTGGAATTCTGAAAGTGCAATCGCTGAAAGTTAGTATAAAAGTAATTTACAAAGTATAACAATTAACGCCTCACATTCGTAATTCTGACTATTGTAATTAAAGCATCAACCACCAGCCAGCCACACTCCATCAACAATACAGGTAACATCATGGATGCAGGGCCGCCGCTGGCTTTTGTGCCAAAGGGGTGGGGGTTGCTCAGGTCCCATTTGTCGACAAAGAGGGTGAGCAATACTTAATTTGCTGACAAGTCTGAGCATTTGCCGACCAAGCACCCTTACATGGCAAAAACGTTTTGCAAGTGGGTGTAAGACCCACACATTCCAGTACCTCCCGACGCCCCACTGTAGCGCAGCCTTGCTTGGATGCTTTAACAATTTCCACCTCGAATAAACCCAGAAAGATACATCCTTCAGTGGAAGCTAAATATGATAAATACGGAACAAATGGTAATAAATATAGAACGCACCTTCTTCTCTTGCTGTGATCTGTTGAAAAAAAGGAAACATAAATCGTTTATCCACACGTTTGTCAATAACTAACTGCGAGACTGGTTTTTTGTGTATAGAACAGAACGGTTCTAAGTTGCAACTCCGAGCTCTCACCGTCCTTTTAATTCTGTTCCTACACCAGATTCTGCTCAATACACCAAACAGCGAGTTACAGTTTTTATTGTTGTTGTTGTAAATTTATTTTAATTCGGTATAAAAACAATAGCTAACAATATATACATAAATATACAATGTTAACTAATCAAAATCGAACATAGCTACCAATTAGCATATTAAAGTAATTATAGATACTAAGTTAAAGACTAATTTGCATTGACTGGCAGAAGCTGACAGGCACTACATCACAGAATAGAGAGTCACAGACTCTCTATTCTGTGACTACATTTGCAAATCGGTCCGTCCCATTGTTTTATTAGATTCTTAAAACTTTGGGTAAACGTTGGGTAAGGCATTCCATTCTGTGGCCCGATTGACATAAGACTTTTGGATCCAAATGTTGTTTGATTAGGTCTAACATGGGCTAGATTATTTGGATTTCTTAATGAATAATTTGACGAGCGTAATTTAAAAATACTCTGCATAAAAGGTGGGATCAACTATTTTACTGTTTTGAATATTTCAATGCACAGAATTTCAGAGCTCTGCCTATACGACATCGAGCACTTCATGACATACAAGTAAACAGTAATTTTCATAACTGAGAGATTAAATATAGCTTGTTTCGGAAATTTATACATTGTGATACCAAATATGGTTATCGCATATTGCATTGGATTTTTAGCAAAAATGGGGCTGGTTGGATCTATAGACACATGTAGATTGTAGCTATTATAAAGTAGCAAAGCGATGGTTGGATGCAATTTGAAATAACCTAAAAACGTGAAAACGTTTAAATGTGCAAAAACAGGGAAAACATGGCCACGTCATGAGTACATGCTCTTTCATTATCAAGTTAATGCTCTTAAAAACATATCAGCCAAGCAATAACAAAAATGTCTTTGCCTTTTTTTAATAAGCAACCAGGCCTGAGACCTCAAATACTTTATGGAACTTTGGGGGCAGACTCCGAATCTAGCTGCTTTCATTAGACATATATCAGCACATTCGCAGCAGATTCAGATGATTTCGCGCTCTTAATAGAAAATTATGGTGTTCTTTCAGATTCACAATCAAATATTATAAATATAAAAATGTTTTTTGTATTTGCAATATAGCTATTCCCAGGATATGGAAAAAGAGAGGTGCTTCATCTAATTATGATAGATTCCATGGATAAATTTAGCTAAGGCAAGAAGTTTAGAAGTAGCGACATTATGAGAATATTTTTATCAAAGAACTGTGGCGGTGACTGGGTCGAAACTGTGGTTCGTGATATGGACTTGATAAACTGAGAACAGGAAGAATTAACATAACATCTGCTAAGGTTAACTTAAAAGATCAAACATTTAGCTTAACGTTTCAGGAGTTGATTACAACCAACAGAGAAAAACATTTGCTCATGGGTATGATTATAATTAATGTGAACCACAAATACTTTGCATATCAAGATATGCTCGTCAGGACCAACAAAATTGCAGGTTTTGCGCGAAAATAATCTAAGAACCAAGTATAGTTAACCAAGGGTTTACAATATTTATCTACTGAAAATGTAAACAAGATTTGGATCAAAAACAGTTGTTTGCAGTGATACATTTACCCATGTGCCCACTGGGTCCGGGCTCATAGTTTTTGGTTCAATTTGCCATACAGAGGTGCTTCCGGTGAAAAATGTTTCACCGCGCTGAACAGGGTAAAAAAAGATTGAACTGAGGTCCACAACGTCACAGTAACGCGTTGTTGCCTTATGTTTATGGCAGGAGATTTTGATGTGCTTGAAATTTTAAACCCCAATAAAATCATCGAAATATTTTCAGCAGTTAAGTAAAGACGAACGACATTAGCGTCATGAAACAAAGGGTAGATTTATTGGAAATTTACTGATATGTGAAATGTTTACAAGTTTATTCGTGTCTTATAGTTTTTAACTATCAAACTATTTAGTGAATATTAACCTGGTTGGTTATGACTATGTTTAGCCAAGTACTGTGGACGTGACACATTGTTTTGAGTAAATTTTAAGGGCCCCCAATCAACTTTGGGCCCAGGGCATCAACAGGCGTAAATGCGGCCCTGGTTGCTTGATTCTATCGACAAATGACAATTTCAATTCAAATTCTCTCCATATAAAAATCATTCTAAGAATTCTTGAAACAACCATATACAAATTAAAAACCGCTTTGATCACGTAGTACAGCGATTTTCCTTGTGCGAAAATGCCAGATATATGTCCCTTTTGTTTTTTGATAAAGATTTACAGGCGCGCAACCAGAAATTTCAGAGGGCAGGGGTCCAAGACACAAAAAGGGCACTAATTAAACTTCATTAAAGGTCCACCGGGGCATTTGTTTAGGTACACCGAAAATATGAGCAGTTAGTAAATCTGTAAAAATTGTACGCCAGACAAGGGAAACTGATCAATAGAGAAAAGTTGTGGTGTACGGTTTATTTTGTGGTGAGGTGTGATGAAGTTTAGGAGGCCCGAAGGAGGGGGAAATGGAAAAAACAATGCCTCTTGCGAGCGAAGCGAGCAAAAATTTTGCCACCACACCCTTGCAAATAGCTTAAATTCACTAATTCGTTTAAGATGTTTTACTTTTTAATTGTAATTTTGTTACTTTTAATAAATTCCATTTAAAAACGGAATTCATTGCTTTGTGAGGCTCCCTAGACCTCGAGGCCCTAGGGCAATTTGCCCCTTTGTCCCCCTCTCGGCGACCCTGCTGTCATCTCCTTTTCCCAGCGCCAGCTCACTTTTGAATAGCAACCCATCATCTTCCATATCCGAAGACATTTTGCGCTTTAAAATATTATTATTGAATTCTTTGCTTCGCACTACAGATTGGAGGAGGTTGAACAGTTCCACGAGCCTTGCCTTCAGCTGGTTTCTGTCTCCAAGTCTTGCCTTCAGCTGATTTGTAATACTGACAAGGAACGGAACAGCTGAACATCAACTTTTTGTGCCATATTTACTGCTTGCTAATACCAGTCCGAAAATATTTCTCTGCATTCGCTCGTTTCATGCAAAGGTCTTCTATGACCCTGTCAACTATGTGACAGGCTTGAAAAATGTCTTGGTTTTTATTCTTGTAACTTTTTACCAGAGGTCGTAGAGGCTCTATCCCGTTCAAAATCTTGTGCCTTTATTTTGGTTTTTGAGTCCCAGAACCATTCTTCTTCAAAGCCAGTGCGTAGCGCATCATAAAACACGCTGTAGAGTTGGGGCTTGAAGATAGACTCTATTACTGCAACATGATGACGTTCGACCCAACAAGTGCGTGAAAGTTTGACTAAATCATTTATCTGTATTCCTGCGAGGTCCATTACATCTCCGGAGTGTGTCATTTACTGTATGACCAACCATTTTAGCGTAATAGTTAAAATATTCAAGCAATTTTCCAGGAAAAAGGGCACTTTTCCCCTTTTGAGAAAAAGGGCAGGGGTCTGGACCCCCAGGACCCCCCCCGTAGTTGCGCGCCTGATTTAGTGAAGAAGTTTATAATCGCCATAACGATAGATAAAAGCCCAGCAATACGAATCCTTTTTGCGTTTAATTTTAAGTGGATATCATATTATATTGTGTCTCCGTTATACAGGGCAGAGAGGCTTTAATCTCTTTGATTTAAAGCCGTCAATTTAAGATATTAATAGTATATTTATGTAAGAAACCGTTCCACAAACCTCGCCTTTTGAAGAAAAAGAAAGCAAACAGAGCCACAACTAGAACCACAACAACAACGATGATCGCAATAATGGTTGTTCTTGTGGAAGATGACATGCCACTTCGTTCGTCGCTCTTTGGTCCTAAATGAAAACATTAAACCTTTATACTGTAATGAAGATCATAGTTTATCAGTCTGCGACATAACAAGCTATGCTGTATGCAGTGGCGGCAATAAATTTTTCCGTTGGGGGGGAGGGGGGGGGTTGAGAGTATTCCTTTTTCAGCAAATTTGCAGACAAAAGCGTGTTTGAACCGACAATTTAGCAAGAAAAGGGGAGGCATTTGCCCCCTCCCCACACCCCCACAATTTCCGCCACTGCCGTATGGAAAAAGCTGTACTTGCTTTGGTGGTGCTATGATTTTCTATTGTCTCGTGAACACCCCCTATCTAACCAGCCCGGGGAGCGTTTTTTACACGGGTGATAGCAGGTAAATAAGGCAATGGCAGCAAATTTGGTCTTGGGGTGGCAGAGGATGGGATGGCCAAAGAGGGAGCAGGAATTCAAGACTGACTGGGGGGCAAAAACTTAGCTTGCAGGAGACGTGGAGAAATAGAAAAATGATCTGGTCATTCGGTATCAAAGGAAGTTTAATCAGGCTTATTCCAAAGGAGAGTTCAGGGTTCAGGATAACATTTAGCTTAATGCTAGAACCATTTCTCGATGAAAGATGTATACATATTGCCGTGCCCCCTTCTCCTTCTCCCAATGCAGGACTCCGGACAAGGGTCATGCTACCACAACCCTACAACATGACAAGCATGTATGTAAAAATCAAACCTCCAATCGAAAGATAGGAGTCCGGGGATCGGACTGTCACAGTTCTGAATTGCTGGCTGTCGTATACTTTCATGATACAGAAGTATATACCAGTGTCCTCTGCACGCAAATTCGTCAAAACAAGAGCACTGTCTTTTATGTATGCTCTGTTTTCAAACCTCGTTCCGGCCACTGTAGTTCTTGGCTGATTTTCGGATGGAAGCTGTTCCATCAACTTTGTCATTTGTCTCGATGCGTTCAAGTATCCACACTCAAGTCTGACCAGTTCGCTTGGTCGGTAAATGGTATGCTTCCACCGCAAAGCAACATTGTCCCCCAACGCTTTAGTTATTCTTGCACCTGGATTTTCGGTGAATCTTGATGCATGTACGATCACAAAAGCTGAAACATTGATCATTTCATTTCATGCATGCAAATTCTAAGCAATAAAAAAGTACAATAGATACATCGATAAAACACAAAATTTCAGGACTAATGGCGTAGCCGAGACCCTTAGGAGAGACTGGGCCTGTATTAACGCATGGACCACATTAAAGGCATTCATATAATTTCATTTATTTGTTCATCAATGCAGATAAATTTTATTCAAAATATTCAAGGCTGCAATCCTCCATTAATTGCCACCTTCCCCCATGATCGATATCTTTTATCAAGTCAAATCAATTCTACACTTTTTTCGTCCTTTTGCGGTGGTCAGAAGTTTTTCCTTTTTGAATTGATTCTTTTAAAGAGTCTTTGGCCTGGGTACCGATTAAAACATCGATAGAATAAATACGGAGTTTCATATCTAATCATATGCTTAACTCTGATGCTTATTAGCGATTTGTATCATTGCAAAATGCACAGTTGAAGCTCTATTTGTTATTACTCTTGGGCAAAGAGATTAACTGGTGCCATTTCTGCGACAGCAACCATACTAGAACGGAGCGTGAAGCATTTTATTCAAAATGGATTTAAATCCGATGCGAAAGCCACAAGATGTGTATCTTACCTTGTGCTATCCAGAGAAACGCAATCATTCTTCGTTTTTCTGACGTACCTTTCCTTGCTTTATTTGAGTCACAATTTTGTCGTTAACCTTGAGCTATCACATTAGAACTGAAAATAATTCGGCTGGTTGACGCAGCAATAAGGTGGGATATTGAGTTGAGATACGGGGCGTAACAGTTTGTAAAATATCTGAAAGACTTGAGGACAATATCATGGGAAAGTTTCTAAAGAAAGTTTATTGCATTACTAATCACGGTAATGATGAGTAACCGCAATTATACGGTTTTCTAGCATCGTAATTAATGTCCTTCGTATCTAATAATTTCTTCCATTCGTTTCCGCTGTTTAATTCGACGAAATTCGCATCCCCATTCAGCTCCTGCCTTACTTGGCAAGAAAAGGTCTCGTTTGCAAAAGTAGAAAATAACTTTTTGTTGGCTTATAATTTGAGGATGTCAGGATTAAGGCATTCGGGCCGAACTAGGTCACAGAACGACTGCCAAGAGATTTCATCACTGCATTTTAATGCTTGAAATTCAACTCTTGAGGTCAAAAATTTAATCTAAAACTAAAACCGGCAGATGGATCAGGCCTTATTTGCCTGACATTAGCCGACCATTCTCTCAAGACTATCGACAGCCAACTACCGAGCTTTAAAAAATTATTATAAAGCTTGAAAATTAGTATTTCGACAGATATTCCCTGGGAAGAGGAAATATAAAAAGTGCTTTCCTGCATATTATTCGGGAGCCATCTCCCAGATTTCTATTGTTTTTCCCTCTCCTTTAACTTTAATATTTTTCTTTAACTGGCGATTCAGTAGATCATCCGACTTCTTTCATCAATACTGGACGGAATCATACTGGAAAGAGATTCCCAAACGGCCTTCATAAATTTTTTCACCCTAGTACCTGAAAGGCTTCTGGCTGTGCAAAGCGAGGGGCAAATCACTCTACACAAATCTCGTATACCTTTTGTGAAAATCCTATTGTTTTAGCTGAAAATCCCCAGAAATCCTTTTGTTTTTGGGAAGATCTCGTACGCTATTTGCAAGAGTGAATTGCCCCTCGGTGCAAAGAGGACCGATATCGGTGTTGCGGCCTAGAGGCAAATTCTGACTTTATGATTAGTGTAGTGGAATTAGATATAAAAACGGTCCAACCCGGATAAAAATGATATAAAGCTGTAATTTGGCACAGATGTTCTATACTAAGTTGGAAATGACCAGAAAAAAGCCCCATCAATTGGACATTAGGAATTCCTTATTTGGGCAAATACCATAATGGCGCACTGATCAGTAGTGGTTCAAAATTTTAATGTTGCTAAAACCACATAGTATGTACATCTTTTGAAAGATTTAAATTTAATGCTTGAATAACCTTCATTCATATCAAGGAATATCATATTTAACCAACGGAGAAACTACCTTTGCTTGATCCTTTATTTATTTTTTGACATGAAGGTCTCTAAAATACCTAAAGCGTTTCTTCCGCCGAGCGGATTTTACCTGAAATTTCCTATTGAGATACTATTGGGGGGGCATGGATAAAAACACTCCCCGGTCGCCAAAGTTTTTCACGATTTACTTTTATTTAATTTCATTTATAATGACGCCAATTTGTTGAGGATTCGTGAACGCCTCTTTCCAAAAATGAGGCCACCAATAGCGTTTTTGTTGGAGTAGTGTGAACACTTACCGTATTCACAGCATATTTATATGAAAACGGATTAGTGTGAACGGACATCGTTTTCATCGACGAAAACGGAACGAAACGAATACGGAGTAGTGTGAACGTAGCCTTAGTCAGTCGTCTTCCTAGTTTATTGTTTTTCCATGGGAAAATTTACCCACTCTGATCAAGCTTTAATTACCTGCCACGGATAATGGCATATTGAAAACAAAATGACCACTGACTGTGGGAAATACCAAATTAATTACAGTAATATTGAGATGAGCAACTTGCCTTTGTTTTGAGCAGCGAAAATAGACTCACACGTAAGCAGGTTTTTATTTATTGGTTTCCGTAGGTCAAGAGATAGACACCGGTGCAGGAGGGGCTATCACTATGGGGGCGTGAGAGGTTTGACACTACCTTGGAAGTATTTCTTCTGCAGAGCAGAAGTCACAAGATTTTGCCATCTAAGGGTACAAGGCCAGAAAAATTTTAACTTGTCTGCAAATAAGGGATGCTTCACCTATTTCTTCGGCAAATGGGACCCAAAAGCCCTCTTTAAAGGGGCAATTTTCTTCCCCTAGCTTTGCTCCAGGACATTCGGTCCTGGCTACGGCCTTTCGGAGAGTGTAAGCATACTGGAAAGTATGATATTTTCCTCTTGTAGTTCTTTACAGATGTAATTGTCTTGCATTTTTTAAGTACCTTACTTACTTTGTTTCATATTTTTCATTACGCTACGCAGCGAGGTCAATTTATTGATATCTTACACACACTAATGATTAAATAATCTTTATGGAGATTTTTTATTGTTTTCTTGTTCTTTTATAAATTTTGCATTTGCTATATGTTGCTGAAATGAGATTAAGAGCCATCTCGGAGTTATAACTGAAAATCTAACATACTTGGCTGTGACCAAATTAAAATGCCGTTGCAAGAAAGTACTATTTGAAAAGTTTTCAAAATGAAGATTACTGAATTCTCCTTTTTAACTTGCCTCTCTCAACCCATTCCCTTTACGGATACTCAGATAGTTACGTCACATTCAGGCTCATAAATGTCAGTGACGAAAACCGGTTTTAATTCAACAATTTCTCCAAGTCTTATTCATTTCGGTTCTTTGTCATGCTTGAACTCATTAAAGCAAAACTCTCACGCATTAAAATTGTCAATTTCCTCTTAACTCTTTAGCAGAAATTGTACTTAGCATAAGCCCTGATTGACAGGCAACAATTATTGCGTAGCCAATTTTGTATCGTTTAAAAATGTTAGACGAACCAACATTGATCCCTTTTTCGAAACAAATGGTTTAATGACGTTTAGACAGTGAGATAAGAGAGAAGAGAGGGAATAAGATTCACCTGCACTGTGACGGAAGAAGCCTGAGAGTTTTGAAAGGTTCTAGTTTGAATCAATACAAAAGAGCTGATTCCTTAGGAGAAAATTGGGATTGCGAGCAACCCTCTTCAAGAATATATCCTTTTTATATAAAACCCAATAAATTAAGGTTCAGGACGCCTGTAGGCTACGAATTTTTTCACGATCCATTTGTCAATATAATTATGTTCTCTTTTGTCACTCTTCTTATAAGATCCAGTAAATTGGGGTTCAGGCAGGCTGTTTTTTATAATTCCAAAATCTAACTGAATAAAGCTGAATTGTTATCAATTTTTTCTTAATTCGTTGAGTTTTAAAGAAGTTTTGAAAAAAGGCAATACTTTTCATCTAACGAGTTTCGAGTAAGCATTTTCTCTTCTTCATATATTTCTTCATATCACGTGACGTTAATTCATGGTTGAAATTTCATGCTTTTTGGACAGTCAGGCCACAAATCGGGTCATTTCGAAAATTTAGCTTTTCCTGTACACTTCACTACAGCAGCAAATTGCCTGGACAATTTCCTTTCAAATTCTTAGTGATATTGTAACGAAGCATGCAAGAAGGAAAGCAAATATAAACAATATTTCAGTTTCTCTTCTTCTTCAATATTCTCCAACTTAACTTTACAACATCTTCTGCTACCTTTCCAACCTATATCTCCACTTCAACTTCCGTCTTTTCTCTCTCGCTCACTAGTCACAACAACAATAACTCTCGTTCCAGTCTCCCATTACTCACATCCTCACAATATCTAAATATCCAAAGCGCAGTAAGTCGTGACCGAGCAGGCCTCGACGCGCTCCCAAAATTATGCAGCCTTGCTTGCATTTGTTTGTGGCTGACGTAGATTGATCCAATGTTACATGCAGCCATCCCATTTTCCATAACGGAAAATCTATTGACCGTCTCTTAAATGCACTTTAAGCGGTGCACTTACTTTCTTTTTGGGAAATTGGAGTGGTCGAGATGCAATGTAATTTACTACGTTCTTTGCAGATACTGACCTTGCAGAAAGAATCATCTAAAAAATTGCCAGCATCGTAAAAGAGAAGTTCATTAGGAAATTCATCTCTGATTGATCTCAGACTTACGACTTACAGTTTTAGTTGAATTTTATGTCAGCTTATCGTCTGGCTATAGAAGCTATAATGGCCATAGATTTTATAAAAAAGATTATAGCTACTGAGTAAATGGTTTCTATGTTTAAACCTATTTAGATCAACGAGGCTTGCAAGCTTACATGAATGAGACTTTTCTCATATTTTACAACCAAATCAACATTTTTCAGAATACTAGCATACTAGCATAATAGAATCTATAATAGCAACTGAAAACACACAGGGATGGTGTTAATTAGCTGTTTTTTAACTATTATTTTGTAAACCAATATCAAATAAAGTGAATAAAAAAATGGCACTAGAGATAAAAATTCAAGGCGCCAAACGACTGTCGACAAAGAATGCATCAAATTGCAGTGTCATTCCTCTTTTTGGATCAGCACTGAAAATACTTCCCATGCAGTAATACCTGATTAAAGGAAAGCTCAAAGTGGCAAAAAGTAGCCAAGAGATTGACTGTCTATCCAAGTTTGATGATACATTTGAGAATGGGGAAATTTAATGCGACTGTCCTCTTCCATGTTACGAAGAGCAGTTTACTACATCGCCGTCACATTCTATGTGGTCAGCTTTAAATGATGCTGAGAAGATTTTAAGTGATCTGAAGCAATCGTACGGGAATCAATCTACCTTTGGTGACAACTGGACAAAAGACAAGCTCTACAAAAATATCCTAAGTGTGAACATCTATTATCAGGACTTTGAAGTTGAAACAATTAGGCAAAGGGAAGCCTACTCTTGTAACGATTTTGTTTGTGATTTGGGTGGAAATATCAGCCTTTGGGCTGGAGCTTCAGTTTTCTCTGTTATTGAGCTAGAAACTTTCATTGAAAATGCCATTCTTTGGTCTGTGCTTCCTAGAAAGCAAATTGAGGTTGATTCAGCCACTAAAGAGGACTCAAAGGAAGATACAAAATAAAATGCAAGACTTGTTATATACTAATTACTGTTTTAAGTTGCCCTCGATATTGCATGATTTCGAAGATAATGTTGGGCAAAACTCGAAGTGCAAGGTATGCAACTAAACGTAACAAGACGTAGCTTTTAACTTAGAAAATACTTACGGAGGAAAAGGTAAATTCTGGATCTATTAATTAATATAATCTGTTTATTGACGTCTGATTATTTTTAATAGAATGACTCTTGAATAAACAGAGAGAAGTCATGATTAAAAACTATTGACACAATTGTGTGTCATTGAGACAAAGGAGGCTACAAAATTAAAACCATATCATGGTTTATTCACATTCAGAAACTGGGTGTCAGCTGCAGTCCATTTTAGAAAATGTACGAAGCTGACACCCAGTGCAAAAATGCTGACAAACATTTGCAAAAGAGAGTTTCGCATAGCAGAGCTGCACTGCTACAATTCATACAGATAACCATATTGCTGTAAATTAAATGTTTAGAAAAAAGACACTCAAGTATCCTTTAATGCTCTCAAAACGTAATGTTTTACAGGAGCTCAATTGATAGATTTTATAAGGTGCAACTGCTCATAAAATTTTATTTAATTTCCCCTAGAGTTAGCCAGCCAGTTAGGCTGTTACCTTAATACGATCACGAGCACAGAAAATGTTGATTCAAAAGGAAAGACATTTTGTCATAGGATCTATTCCTTGTTATAGAACTTTGGTAAATCAATGTTTTTGCCAGTCTTTGTGACAGTGCAGATTTTCAATTTCTGCATGCTTCTTAAAGTATCCAAACCTATCTATATAAAAATTAACCTGCCAAAATGAGTCCATCACGAATTTGTAGTTAATGAAATCAAATGATTCTTTTGATAATTCTCCTATCTAATTGAACTATAATTCTCCTATATAAAAGTTTTTATTCTCAAAAATCCCTTTCCTGGATAAATTCGAATTTGCAAAATTTACACGTATATACGCGCACAAAAAGCATACTTTTTATCAATATCAATAGCATTATCAATACCTTTTCTTGATGTGATACTGTCAACCTCAATTGAACCAAAAAACTAGCTTTCTCGTGGTTTAATTATACTTGGATAAACAGGCTCAAAGAGTTATAAATAGCGAAACTGTAAGCAACCTGCATATAAACTTTTTAATACCACAGGGATGCATACTTGGACTTTATATTTATTCCTGGGCTTTATGCTTTATATTTATTCCAATAAACTTATATTTAAATCCAGAAAGCTCAAACTTTATTAGGCAAACGACTAACGTTTAGATAGCAAATGCCCGAAAGTAACTGAATAGTTATTAGCCAAGCTTAATTCCTATTGACTTCGGAAATATAATCAGATCTTGGAAAAAGTGACAATTTAAGAAAAGATTTTTATGATATTTTAGAGTCTTGATAAATGACAAATCAAAATTGAAGCAACATATTAAACTATCTATCTAAACTGTCTATTTAAACAAAAACGATTTGCTATGTTGAAAATGGTGTGCATTTTTCATGAAAGCAAGGCTTCATCGTGAATTTAGTCAGAATAAGATGGCAATTATACAATGGCGTAGACACTAACAGAAGACACAAGCAAAAAAGAAAAAAACGCAAAACTTGTTTCTCTTAATTGCAATTCATATTTACAATTACACATTTATGTTAATGCAGAAAAATTATAAGAAAAATTGCGGCCAACAAGTCGTTACTAAGTGCTACATTGTCACCAACAAGATTTCTATAGGCTACAAATAATTTCTTGTCTGTTGCGTGCTTTATTACTGATGCCTGTAATAGCCTAATGTAGAAATATAATCTTGTAACAAAAATTTATATGCATCATTTCCAATAGGATCTTTCTACTATCCAAAGAGTATATTACGAATGCCAAAAAGGAGGAATAAATACGTTCTAAATCATACATTGCGAATTATACTTCTATCTAAACATTGTGAATTGGTGGCAGCTGCATTTCACGGGCAGCCGTAGCAAATGATAAAGACCGTGAAAATAAATGAAGGACTTTACCCGAGTTTTTGCTTCGTATACCGATCGATATACAAAGTTTAATTTCTCGTAAAGCAGGACCGGAAGCTCTTTGCTTTTATTGAGCTCGTGATAAGTCTAATGGTACCTTGTGGACATGCGATAGTTGGCTACATCACAGGGCATTTTTTAAGAATTTTCCACTGGTAGGGCATTTGAGAAAAGGGCATATAGATAAAGAAAGAATTTACAGATAAACAGGTTTTCAAAAATAGACTTTGTGAATTAGAAGGGGAATCACATATAGAAGCAGCAGTTCCAGGGGAAAATGAATTGAGATTTGAAACCTGTTCAATGAAGATTTCATCCACAAATATCTCAAACAAAGTAAAAAGTAAAAAAGTCACCGAATCATAGGGGCACTTAAGTGGTGGGGCAAACATATTCCACTGGTGGGGCAATGAAAGAGGCTGGTGGGGAATTTCCCCACTACTTTATATGTTAGAAAATGCCCTGCTACATCATACCGTCAAACCATTGATATTCGGCATAAATTACAAACACGAGAAGAGTTTTCCACTAAGACCAACAAGATAATGTATATTTAGTATAAAGAAGATAACCAAAAATGTAACGGAAGCATCCTGGGCCATTAGAGTTTTTGTCAGTTCAGGGCTCCTGGTTATAAGACTTAAATACCATGAAGGCTTGGAGCCCTGTAGTCGTTTTTTACATTAGCATTAAATAAGAGGATTAAATAGACATTTTTCTTTAGAGCCAATAAAGTTTGGAGACCCTACAGTGGTTCGTTACGCCACTGTAGAGAACACATTTGAGATTGATGTTTTTGTCAGCATATTTTTATAGAATTTTTTATCTCAACATGTAGTTATAAGCACATTGCAGGACAAGACATTGCATACCCACATCATACTCTCGTCCCAATGTTGCAGCACTTACACCTCAGTAGAAATCTATTCTGCTTTGCTCCTGTAGGGGTTGCACTAGATGAGGTTTAAATGGCAGTGATCTTCTACTCAGATAGGTTTTAATTTGTCAATATCTTCTTCAAATTTTTGACTTTCCCACTTGCAATTTTAATGTGCAGTTTTTTTCATTAGAGCAGAGAGGCCTTTACTGTATGATGTTAACATTTCTTATTTGTAATGAAAGCTCTCCAGATGCTTTTAAGGGTATTAGTAAAAGGGTAATTGCCCCTCCAGGCAAGGTGGATTATTTTCATATCTGGCTTTTGACCCCTTTTTTGGAGTGAAGGCTCATGAAGTTTTTATGACTAGATTTTGTGTTTTGTTCTATTCATGACATCATAATCACTAAAGCCATAATGATTTGGTAAGTCTTGCGCACAGAAGTAAATGGTTAGACATGCAAACCGTTGGTCTCCTAAGGCATTTTAGAGACATTCATATCTTCAACTAATATCAAATTACTTGTTGCTTGAGCATGGTCGTCTTCAAATCAAAGGGAAACGACCACGCGCAAAATGTTTTATTTCTGTGTGAAAGAAACATATGTTTGCAAGCATACAGATGAAATCATAGTTTATAAGTCTCTATTTCGCCTCAGATTCCCAGTTAAACTGACAGCAAAAGAGCTCTAAAGACGCGTCTCACTGTCATCCTCTCTGTCCTTTTTTATTAGGTTCACCTGTACTGAATCTTCCTCTGCGTATTTTTCTTCATTTTCTTGGTCACTTTCTGCAATAATCGTATTAATGCTTTTTTCTTCAGCCAGAGCGTCCTCGGGGCGATTTTCAGGTTGTTTTGATAATTTCTCTTCGTTGTGCTCAATATTCGCTTGTCCGTTGGTATTAGACGTGACACTGAATTTTCGAACAATACTTGGCAGTCTCCTGAATTTATGAAAAATTGATTTCTCTTCCCCGGCTAGTGAAGAGTGAGCAGGTGAATTTGCAGGAAAGAAGTGAGGCTCTACTTTTGGTTCGCTTCTTTTCCTCTCTTTTTCCTCGAGCCTTGCTTGTCTGGCTTTCTCCTACAAGAACAAAATAACATAATTTATGCTTTATATGGCAGGGCTCACGCCACGAATTTCAAGTTTGAGGGGCCAAATTCTATAAGTCGAGCTTGGATTTAGCGCTTCAAAACAGGGCCTCTCTGGAAATGATTTCGCTTACCAAAAGTGTGGTGGGCCATGGTCCCTCCAGCCCAGTACCTCCCCCCCCTTGTGGCGTGGGCCCAGTATGGTACTTGATTTTTGCACAGAACCAAGCTTTTCTATTTACATTATTTATTGAAGAGATATGTATAAGCATATCTTGTTGCTAGCTACAATTTTTTTCACCAGTTGCACTGCGAAATGTTTTCACGATGCATCAATTGAAGCTTTGGCATCGTTAAACTTACTTTGGGCATCCGAAGTCTTGGATACATGGTATAACTTAACTTAAACAAGTGATGGAGCAATTCTCGTCAAAGTTTGTAAGAGTAATATTTTGATAAAGAATAATAAACAAATGAAAGAGATTTAGTTGACAATGTAGCACGAGTTTAATGTTTGCCATGCTTCAATTTGTATTTGAACCACGCTCCTTAGTTCAGTCTAGCTCTCTAATATTCCTGGTTTTTAAAAGTTTCACAAGTGGCTTCGATTATAGAATTTTATCTAAAAGGGATAACATTGAAAAGTTAAATCTTTTTGGTTAAAACTGTTTTTTTCTAAGAGGCATTTCCCTAACAGTAAACTCACCTCTTTGTAATAATGTTCAAAATTGCTAACTATAACAGGCACTGGCAAGGCAATTACAAGCACACCAGAAATGGCACACATTGCTCCAACAAGTTTTCCAATGAAAGTAACAGGTGTGATATCGCCATAACCCACGGTTGTCATGGTTACTACAGCCCACCAAAATGCATGCGGAATGCTGGGAAAATCTTTCGACAGGACTTGTGATTCAGCATAGTAAACGGCGCTTGAGAAGAGAATTACTCCAATAAACAAAAACAAAGCAAGCATGGCCAGTTCATGCAAACTTGCGTGTATGGTGTTGCCAAGAATATGAAGGCCACGAGAGTGCCTTGTCAGCTTGAATATACGAACGACGCGGATGACCCTGATCACACGCAGGACGTCGATGCCCCCTCCTTCATCAATTATAAGAGACAGGTAGAACGGAATGATTGACATTAGATCGATGACATTTATTGTTGATCTTATAAACTTTAGTTTGTGCTCTGCGGCTATCAGTCTTAGGAGATATTCCAGAGTGAACCAAACGTTGCAAAAGGTGTTTATGATATTCCATGTCAATGTCACCTTGGCTTTACGCTCTTTTGATTCAATTTGATTTGGGTCGAGCTGCGGCAAAGTTTCGATGCAAAATACTACGATCGAAATTAATATGACGAGAACCGAGAAAACAGCAATGCATTTTGCAATTATTGAAGAGTTTGGATGTTCAAACAATATCCAGATTTTTCTCAAAATTTTATTCTTAGGCAGTTCTTCCTCCTCGACTTTCTCAAGGCCGTTCTCATCTTCCTCGATGCCAAGAAGACTCTCTCCCAATTCAAAGAACAAGACTTCTTTTGTAAATAAACTTTCTGACACTTTTGCTGGACATTCTAATATCCCATTGCTTTGGTAATAGTACAATATTCCGCTGAACGCTGATCTGTTTCGATCAAAAAAATACTCCCCTGTCTTAGGATTGAGAAATGGCCTTCGTTTCGTTGGGTCACCCAAAAGCGTATCAGGAAATCTGGCCAACGTGTCTTCGAAGGTCTCGAATTTTTTACCGGCCACATTGATTACAACAAGGTTGCTTGACTGGGAAGCTCCTGTTTCTTTTGACATAGTATCTTCTTTTGTCAAATTTGACATTCTCGGGCGCTTGCATTTCAGATCCCTCAAATTTATGGATGACCTTCCAGTGATAAAAGCCATCTGATCGTTAGGTTTGCTAGACGAAAGATAAAAAAATAAATTTGTGAACAAAAAATTAAAATTCCTTTCCAGTTTGATTTGAACATAAATATTAATGCCATACATTTCAACTTAGAACCACTGAATACTAATTACAATGTCTCTCTGTCAGTGCAAAATTAATTGTAATACTAGAATGCATTTTAATGGCGGTCTCTAAAGAAGTGCAAGTTGAAGTGTAATGAGACTGTGAGATTTTTCCCCTTTTTGCCCAATCAAATAAAATTGTCTACCTGTTAGCGCTCTCATTTTCTCAGTCGTATTGAAAGTTTTAGCTAAACAAACTTTATAGCTCTTTCTCTTGATAAATAGGTTTGCATTTCAAGTACATGTATTACTATAATGACCTACGTATTACTAAAGCCTCTATAATGACCAGTGTTCTCGCTGATCTAGGAAAAGTGTATGATTTGCAATCCAGATAAAAAAAAGGCTCGCCCTATTTTTTGAGACATGCATTTTTTTTAATCAAGCCAAGGAAAAGGTTTATTATCAAATCCATGATCCTGTTGTATAAAGACTGGTTTTCATGAAACGTATTTTGAAGGATTACGTCAAATCTATCGTATTTTACATTTCGATTTAGTATATTTTAAAGGGTTCATCGTATTTAAACCTATTTGTTTGGCTGCAGTTATATGTGACTAATGAGAATCAAGTACTTGATAAGCGAGTATTATTCTTCGTCGCAATTTATCTCATTTTATCGCGATTCGTCCCATAGAATAGAAATTTCAAAAAGCTAATCAACTGACGAATAAAAATTGTGAGAACCCATTAATCTATATTCTCTTCACTATTGAAGTTTATAGAAGGTATAGGATATAGAAAACTGGCCTATTTTACCCATCACATAAAACAAATAAAATTGATCTTTCGCTCAAATCACGATAAACATAATTTCCAACCAATTTTTAAGGGTATAAGACCCTACATAAATTCCCTTGAAATCCTCTGCAACGACCACGCTAAAACACTGAAGAAGTTTGAGTAGATTTATCGGGTGATATCTATTCGTCCTACCTCACCCTATCTTATTGAAAATGCTTTAGAGAGTAAAGGATTCTATCAAGATATGCAAAATACGAAGGCCATACACTTTGTAAGGGGTCTGGCCAAGGGCTGCCTAGAATTCCAGTGGTAGTGATTTTGGTTGTAAAATCAATTAAATATCTTTCATTGCAATGCTGATCAAGCTTGCTGAATAATATCTTATGGAGCAGGTGTGTTTACCACAGACATAGAACACTGCAAACGAAACTGTAACATAAGCCAGCTTTTTGGCTGCAGCATGATATACACACAATTCTGGAATGACTTTAGGATAAACGAGAACAAAAACGGACCAGCAACAGCATGGAGTATGATTGACTAGGCAAAGCAAGGCCACGAAAATTTTGTTCAATTTCCCCTTTTTTGATTTACTCTGAACATTTTATTTCAGATTTTGATTATTTTATTTTTTACTTTTCAGTAATTTGATTTTTGGCTTTATATTTATAAAACTTTGTTCATATTGTTGCTTTTCAAGCTGTATATATGGAAGAAACTTGAACGCAGAGGAAGAAAGGTTTTTAAAGACATTGAACTTAAGAACTGAAAAGAGCAAAATATTCTATAAAAAGCTTGGATTATATCAATTTCAATCAATTATTCAATATCAGAATATCAGGATGTTCCACTGACTGGAAAATAAAATTCTTTTTCAGGAAAATGTAAGCTCTACATTCATAAAAAATGTGAAGAAATATAGCGGGAAAGAAATCTTTATCTTAGTTTTCTCAAAATCACGGTTAAGATGCTGAAAGTGCCGTTTATCTTTTAATTTTTATATTTCATAAAAAATATTTGCTTTCTACAGGCCAGCTAAGAGTTACTCAGAAATAGAAAAACCAGGGGTGCGAGACACTGCTTGAAACTCGTGTCCTTAGTTAATTAGATTTTCATATCAGAAAGGCATAAACAGTTTTTCTATTCCCTTTAAACAAAGCTTCATTCCCAATTAAATTTTCTCTCAAATCAGAATAAACAATGAAGACCAAATCATGATGAATACAGCTTCTCGTAAGTCGTCACTTTCACTTTTTTGTGACTAAGAGTCAAGTCTCAGTGCACAGACGATAAAGAATTACCCTCCATCTTTGCCAAGGATCCGTATAAACCACGATTTCATTCATCAGAACGTTGATATTTATTAGAATGATGCGTCAAATTATGTGAGACTTTTGATCGTGTGTTCTACCATTGTGCTTTGCTTTATTCTCTGCCAGTGGTTCAAATGGTTCTTTTAACAAAAATGGAATTCAGATGTGATTTCTTACACCCTTTTTGCATCATACATAATTGAAAGCTGAGATAGATCATTCTTAAATTGATCTTTGACATGATCAATAATTCATAATTTTTTGAATTTTAATTAAAACCTTATTATCTTGGCCTATTTTGTCTTGTTTTTCGAAATTCAATTTTTCAAAAGGGGGATGTTCGAAATATTTTTGAAGTAAAAAGGTCCGAGAAGCCGATAAATATGAATAGACGTGGAATTTATCTCTGAATTTTCTTAAATGCAGAATATATGGTTCATTAATATATTTAAAACTTGCAATTTTATATAGGTCTCCATTCCGTGAGTTAAAGGTATTTATGGTGCTCTAATTGTTCTCAATTTTCTATGCTATTTTTATGCATACTTATTATTCAAGCAATGTATTTCATAAAGTTCAATCAATACTCAATATACACTATATATTTTACGCTTTGGGTAGAGAAGGACGGTTGCAAGTTGCAACTCTCACAGGACAGTTCTAAGTTGCAACTCTCGCAGAACGGTTCTAAGTTGCAACTCTCACGCTTTACGCAGAACGGTTCTAAGTTGCAACTCTCGCGCTTTACACAGGACGGTTCTAAGTTGTAACTCTCGCAGAACGGTTCTTAGTTACAACTCTCAGTTTCAAGCTTAATGTGATCATTAGAAACTTTGCTATACGGAATTGAGCACTATATGATGCTGAGCACCAACAGTAAAACAGTATTGTTTAAAACCAAAGTGTTATTACATGTATGTCATGAAAAGCTTTTTAAAAATAACATATAGGTAGAATTCATTGCGTCAAAACTAGCTTCCAATCTCACACGTTTCATAACTATAGCAACAATTTTTATCAATATATTTGTTTATTTACTTTAAAAACAAAGCCTGAAAAATTGTTTTGTTATCTTTTTCTTTGCATTTTGCTTTTCTTTTTAAACCTGATTTATTTATTTGCATTCAAAATTATTTATGTTAGCTCGTGTATCAAATTATTTGACAAACGAAGGTTGTTGCTTTCTTTCTAGCTAACTTTTTAAGATTAAACTTAAAAACAAAGAAATGTTACTACAGCAGGTATTAATTTGTATAATTTCTCTAAACAATTATCTAGCAAAATCCTCCAAGTTTAAAATATCGAATTCATATCAATGATCGTGCAAACTAATTTTTGTTTGTAAGAGTTTATATTTGTAAATTGATACTGACACTGAATTAAGTATTACCAAAATATCTTCAAGTATTAAAACATTTATCAATATTTATTCTATGTTTCCAGGAGCATTGCAAATTTGCAATTTTCCGCATGATTTTAAGGAATGCATTGCACATGAAAAAGCTAACTATACGCAAGTTGTCTTTAGATTCCAACAACTACATCTGGTAAATACATATATTTAATATGAACATCTACTACTTTCGATAAGATACCTTGAATCTGTTGTCGTCATGTTCAACTTAGCGTACTTAACATTGCTGTGATTGATCCCTTCACAAGTATCTTTATCCATTTTGCAGGACGAGTGATTTGATGACTCGTTTTTGGTATTCCACTTGATTTTCCAATCTTTCGTGCAAATCTATTCTAAATATACGTGATATCTGCTTACTTGATTCCCTAGACCAAATCACTGCTATTCTTTTTCGTTTGAAGACACGTGTTTATCTAAATCACGACCTTATTTATCAAATCTGCAAGCTCTTTCTTCATGAATAAATTCATGAGCCTTTACCATAGATCAAAACTGTGCTGGGGGTCTACCTGTGTGTCTGCAGTTTCATTCAGAATCGCAATTGAATTCATGGCCAAGGGAAAATTTTTAATGGCTCTTTCAATCGACGGGCTTCCGAGTTACAAAAGTCAAGAAATGACATTATCAAATTCCTGAAAATCTATCCGTTAAATTTTGAACTTTATAATTTTGGTCATTTGAAAATGTTCTGCACGAAGACATTCGAACAGCTATCAAGGTTCTATTTTCTATTTGATATCAAAACTTTTAATCTAAATGGAGTTAAAGCAACCGACTTCATGCATCCAATAAAAAGGCATGATTTGTTTTTTATTAAAACTGTAATCAATTTTTTTTTGTAATGAAAAGTCTGATTTACTTGTAGCTCACTTGTAAACAAAAAGAAAACTCTATCTTTTGCTGTTGTTACACCCTGTTTGATAAACAAAGCACGTCTTGCTTTAATCGATATAAGAATAAAGAATAACAATTGAGCGCAAATAGAAGGACTAAAGGAAAGCGGGTACAGTACTTATACAGTTATTCGACCCAACGTTTATCCGGACTTCAATTATCCGGTCCGTAAAGAATGTGAAAAACTATATGAAGGCTTGGAGCGTTTTCCTTGTTTTCCTTTTGAAATATTTTATGAGTATTAAGTAAATTAGCTTGCAATATTTGCTTATTAGAAAAAAACTTTCAAAACACTCATCTTGCTTATTAATCTTGGTTTCTGCCGTTCTTCGTTTATTTTGAATTATCTAGAATTTCGGATTATCCAAGCGCATTTTGAAATCCCACACCTTGAGAAGGTCGGATAATTGAAAAAGTACTGTAACAGTAATCTGACCATAGTGTTGAAAATAACCGCCAAAGTAAAAAAGATGACGAATGGCTCAAACCCATATACATCTTGGGTTTGAATTTTTTTCTGGGCCATGTGTGTGTATGTGGGTCCCGCATTTTTCTTTGGCACAATTAGACCCCCACAGGATCTAATTACATTACATTGAGTTTCCGAGGAGGTTTTTGTTAACAAAAAGAGCGACGGGTTAACAATGTTCTGTTTTCGTGAAACAACGGGCTAGGTTTTCTGACACAGTAATGCCAGCAACGGCACAAAGCAAACAGTGCTGAAGTCACTAGCACATATAGGATGGTGCTTGTGAAAGATGGCAAATCAGATTCTCGAATATTGTGTAAATCAGAAACCAGCGTCAGGGTCTTCAGCTTATGAATTTTACATAACATGACTTGCTACCTTTCTTATCACGTATTGATATAACCCTGTCATACACTGCACTCATAGTCAGGATTGTTGGCAACGATCTCAACGATCAGTAGGGCCAATTTAAAAGCACCCTACACGTCATACAACCGTTTAGAGTTAACAATATGCTTCGCAGAGCAAACATTGCAATTTAGCCTTACGTTGCCGATCGGGTACGTAATAATAGGTCCACTGAGTAGTCCAACCGACGGGAAAATTAAATGGCCTGCGAAATGCGTCAGGGCAAAGTGCCTTTAAGCAGCTCTATAGGTTAATTAGGTTATGTTGTGGGTGGAAACTCAATTGAAAAATACAGACCATAGCTCTATAGAATACATTGTAAATGTATTGTCGTTATATTTTGTTGTGATCAAGTTATCTATGTATCTTATTATCAATTATTATACCTATATTTGTGAGGAAATAACGGAAACCTGATTGAAAAATACTCTTGCACCAAGTGAAAAATTTCTTTATATTCCTTCTTTAATATGAGGCTTTTCTCAATGTTTGCACGAAACGCCATTTAACGACCTAAATTGCCACTTTTTGCGACTTCTTACCCTTTAAGTTTCTTAACCTCCTTTTAAAAAGAAAAAGTTATGCGGAATGGAGGTTCAAGAAGAAAACACTGCTTAAAGGCATTCCCCGTTTCACTGATAAGATGTGATGATTAGCAGGCTTAATAGCTAAAGATTTTCGTAAATAATTGCAGAGATTTGAACAAAATGACCATTTTAGCTGTCAATTATTTACAAATTAAAATTTAATCACCATAGTAGGCTGCAGAAGTCATGCAGTCATATGTTGGATAAAGTACGATTTGACCAAAGCTCATTAGCATAAGAACCTTTGTTAGAAATACCTACTATAAATTAAATTTATGGAAAAATACCGATATGGGAATGTAAATCATCTGTGGCTTCTCGCAAATAAGTTATATGTTTGCATAGATTTTTTATGCTCAAAAACATTGTTGTTTCTTTTTCTATTTTGTCTACCGATCAATTTTTTACAATTTTTAAAGGCCTTTAATGCTGTTTGACACAGCTTAAGTCTTATTTCCAGGGAAGCTCCAGCACATTTTGGAGTGGCGAGGTGGCTCTAGAAGAGTTGGAAAACACCTATGTTCGTTTGCTGCTCTAAGCCTTAAAACATGAGGGGGATATCCTACTGTCTCCATCCAGTGAATTTTATCATATTCAAAAATATATCTAAGCGTTTTGTGCGTTGAATAGGGACATACAGGCATAAGAACAAAAAACAGTAGAGGGCCTATAGCCCCCCAACAAACACAATTTGTTGGAATGTTTTGAAACTTTTTGCGACGTTGTCAGAATTTTTAGAAAGATGTAGCCTTTAGTCCACCCTCCAAAAATTAGAATCAACCGACACTGCGTCCTCGACGTCAAATACAATTCAATGCAATTAAATTTCTATGCAATTTGCACGAGGAAAATGCTGTTCATATTTGATAATATTTCTTAGCATGTGACCCTGCGACGTTCTTTAATAGAGCATTACAGCAAAGCATCATTGTAGTTGGAAACCAAACTAGCTTCGCATCAACACAGTGTTGAGTCTTACTAACCACACAGCAAAATGAAACAATAAACGATCATGTTGTACATAAGCAAATATTATTATGGAAGGAACCCAAGAATATTCATTGACTAGGCTTTTGTTCAGTATATTACAGCATGTAGTATTCAGTATGTGCCTCATTCAACATAAAAACTGTATATGTTTCCATGTCTCCCTAACCTCACAAGTACATCACGCGTTTTGAATTTTTCGCTTTATTCCTTTACACACATCAGGCTGCTTTCTTATCAATTGAAAATCAAATATTACTATAAAACTTTTTCAGGACGCACTTTGCCTCATTCTTTGTCAAAATTCAAAGCGAATTGTAATTGAAAAATTTCATCGAATAAAGGGTAACTCACAAGCATCACATTTGCCTTTGTTCAGATCACTTTGAAATTTCATATGACGGCGATGCTTGATGTTTCACTTGATGAATATGACAATGAAGCATTTTTATATAAGACTGGGCAGCAGGCATTAAAGATTTATTAAACCATCTGTAGCCTTGGTTAATAATCAAGGTTCTTTTCTACGTTAATTCAGGCTGCGGTACGATTTACTAAGCTAAGACCCTGAGAGGCTCAATCCAATGAATTCGAACACACCAGGCTGTTACTTGGTATCGTACATTTTGTCACTCGTTGCTGTTTGCTTCGGTCACGGGAGCAGTTTTCGCAAGGAACATGTTTTCAAAACCTTTTGAAACTATATAGTGTTTGCAGAATCTGGACATTGTACTGAAAAGTTGATGAAAACAGCGTTACAAGACAAACCAACTAAAAAGAGCTTTGACATATATCAAAATTCATAAACACAACTTTGAGTCGTGAATTTTTTGCGAGCAAGTCTTATCACCAGGGGCACTATGTTATCCGAAAAATACAAGATAAGGGCAGAAGAATATACATCGAGTTTTATGATCTAATTGCCATTTAAAAGCTTCACAGCCTACGTGATAGTTATGCCAAGCATAAGATCATCAATGTAGCCTTGCGGCTCTTCTAGTTTCTGGCACACGTGACTTCAAATCCTTCATATCCAGGAATTTTTATCAGTTTTGCTGATTTTTTAACAGCCTCATTAGGCCATCCGCTGTTAAATCTTTAAAAACTAAAACCTTGTTATAATCTAAAGGATGGCGGGCAAAGCACCTGAAGAACGTAATAAGGAGCAATGTGCTCCGCTTACTCTTCAGAATGACAACTATCTTTTGAATTTCTCCCAATATCCCATTCCCTCACCGTCTAAAATCGTTTTTTTAGATTTCGTAGTTCAAACGGAAACTGAGTTCTTCTCCCCTAGAACGGTAAGGTTGAACAATAGTAATAGCAGTTTAGATCGAACAATAAGTTTAAAATCTTCTTTAAAGAATGGCAAAGTACGTCTTACAGTACTCGCTGTTATAGGTTGATTGATGGTACACAGTCACCTAATGAAAGAATCCTGACATTTAAGGGTATTTTCCGAACTTGTGACGTCTGAATCGTTGTTTACGTGTTGCAGCATCTGCTGGACTATCTGTCCCTTAGAGATTTTCAGAACATTTCGTATTTCCCATGGCCATAGTTACTATAACAGATACATTTAAGCCAAATCTTCAGACGCAGGGAAGACATCTAGCAGCATCCTGTCAGGGACTTGTTTGACTCAATCACAGAAATAAAACAGGAATGAACTGCAAACTTTCTCATGATCCTATCAGCCAAAATTACAATACTTTGCTCAAATCTTGCTTTCACTGAAGATCAAACAATGTTTAGAAAAACATTTAGCCGTAAACTAAAAAAGTGGTTAGTTGTTTGTTGCAAGACAAATTATTTTCATCTACAAAGACCATGAGTTTATAATTCATTTGAAAATACGAACTTGCAATCATGCTAAACCACTGTTACGGAAGGGCGATTAATTGCTGCTGAGTACAACGAGATAACAACTGCACACGATTAAGGCCGTTAATTTGCTTAGGTTTGCAGCCTCTATTTGTTGTCCTACCCATAAAGTATTAATGCGATGACTTTTAGGAAAAAGCTCGACTTTCTTTTGCATAAATTTTGCATCCAGCTAGAAAGCGAGCTTTAGGAAAAGTATTTCCAAATCCTATTCTAGATACCCTTGATTGTCAAATAGGTCTTGCTACATAGTATTGAATTACGTTGGGCATCCATAAAACAAATTTTATTGGGCAGGGCAACAGATTCATGACAAATTCTGTAAATATCTTAAAAAGCTGTAAATATGCAAATGTCCTCACAAGTCTAAGTTATTTTCGTTCAAACCAATAAAGCAGATGTGCGCAATTGACATTTTATCTACATCAAAAACCATTGCAAAAGATAAGGCTTTCAGAAATAGCTGTTTACATGATACTAAGTTGCTTTTAGAAGAGATCAGTTTTATGAACAGTGTCCTACAGTTGCTGTTACACTGAATAAGTAAATTATTACAACAAAAAGCCTTTGCAAGAAGCAATATCTCGAGAAAAAATGTACTCAATTTTTTCAAATGCTTGCTAAAAAGCTTTGCAAAAATTGTGAGCGGTAGAGCTAGCATTTACCGAAACAACACGTCACTTTTCATAAATTAAAAGTTTTTCTAAAAGAAGTGTTTCGTAAAAAACTAGATAAATTTGAATTGCTCAGTATTCATACCCGTTGTAATTCCACTAAATCAGGAAGAAACTATTGCATAATGCTGTTTCGTAAATCCAGATTTTCCTTTCTGTATCAAAGCATCACCTCGTTTTTTTAAACAATCTCGGCGTTGCACACGATAAATCTAGGACCTGTCCCCAAGCTTCATTCTCGAGAGCTTTTCAACGCTGTTGCGCCTATGCAATTTGATAGAGCGAAGGCAGCTGTAAACTTCAAAATACGCTGCTCTTTCTTGAAAAATATGCCGACGTTCGTTGACCCAAAATGTAATTTCGCACCACAGCCTAAAAACACACAAGACCACCTGATTCAATGACCTAGCAAAGCCACCAACTTGGAACTAGAGGCTTCAAATGCAACTATTGCAATTTGAACGACTGATATTTTCTAGGCAAAAACAGCTGATGTAATCAGACATCTTCGTTCGTCCTTGCTTTGTTTTGCCACTTAATAAGCAAAGACATCGCATACTGCTTCATTTAGCTTATCACAACCTTAAATAAACATGGAGAGATAAGATTAAAATAACAAAGGTAGGCAACGGGTATCAGTGATGATAACATCCAAAACTTTAGAGATTTGTCTTTGGTGATACATTTTTCCTCTAACAGATATCTTTAAGCTTGTTTTATAAATGTACTGATTAGTTTCAGTGATACAGCATTATGAACTCCACAAAGGATCTTCTTTTTTGTTAGTCTTAGAATTTGCTCTTCTTGATTCCTGCTGAAGTGTGTTTCGCCATTGAAAATCTTTAATTTTAATGAATAGATATGCTTTTAAGGCAGCGTTTAACACAGATGTGTTGCGATGCTGATGTACTCATCGAACCCTGTGTATAGTACGCCAAAACAGCTAAGCTGGTTTTTATTAATGGCATGAGCAGATATTTCAATTTTTATGACGTAATGTAAATGTTCAGGCTGCCATGTAAATGCAGCAATATTTTACACAGGGTTTCGATGCTTGAAGTATAAACAAAGACATTCATGCTAAGGCCAAATCGTTTCTAAGCACTAAAGTCAGTGCACATTTATATACGAATAATGAACGTCCTTGTGTAGCTCGTTTGCTTAACAATTCCAACTTTTTCTCTCACACAAAAAGTAAAGACATTGACACATATCATAGGGATTTATGCAGAGCTATCAGTTTAAGGAGAGTCGTTTATGATTTCTGTTAAAGGAGAACTGACACGCAAAAATAAGTTTGGCTAAAACGGTAGCTTGTGACAAGCAAATTCCGGGATCGAAAAATTTTTTTAAATCACAGTTACCGTTTTTGAAATACAGGCGTTTTAAGTTGAGAAACGACAATTATTCCGACAACTTGAGACTCGAGGCGAAAATCGTCCCGAGTGAGCGATCATCTTTGACGTCACAAGTGACATGTTCTCAGCACGTATTGTGATTCTCTATAGAAACCTTTAAGAAAATGCTGCGGACAAATCTTTATTTTGTGCATTTGAAAGGAGCTAATTTTGCATTTTTGACACATAATTCACTTTTTCAATGGTTTGGGACTCTGAATCCGAGTTTTATTACACTGATTTCGAAACAAATGGAGAGTTTCAGCCGTCTGAGTTTTTGCTACCAACCAGCGCCGCCGCTTGGGCAGACAGTCGTCCCATGGCTCAACAGTGACGATGTTATGAACAAAGTACAGACTGGAATTACAAACTGATATGGAATTTTTATTAAAAAAATGCTATTGCTACAATCTAAATGAGATCAGGTATCCTAAAACTAGAATTTCATTTCAGATTGAGGGGTCTTTGTCCAGGCTGCTTTGTCTGTAAGGCCTAATTCGCTGAAATGCCTATGATGCCCTAAACGGAACTGCAAGTTATTCATTGTTATTATAACATTCCATGATTGTTTTTCAATGTTTCAAACGCGTTAATTGTATAGTGATATTAAATAGTAAAGGCGGGTTAAAAGTCGACTTGTGCGGATTATATGCCATTTTCACCGGGCGTGAAGGGTTTCGGGAACTGATAAGTTACCTGGCAGTCGAAAAATCTGGATTTACGGAATAGGCTCTTAGCTCTTTGTCAAAGAACTTTATTTCTTATCTTAGTCGAAAAAAATGCTGTTTAGCTGTCATAGGAATATCAACTGGCGCATTATCTTCTTTTGCAAGCAATTTTGACTTGGGTAGGGGATGGTCTTTTTGCAAGACCAGGTTATTCCCTAGTATCTCAACCTCTGTTACAATAATCAAGTTCAGTGAAATTATTATTTAGTCACACTCGCAGCTCCCAGCAACCAAGGATTTTTCTTGAATTCATATTTCTGCACCCAAAGCAGGTTGCAGGATCGCTTTTACCGCTGTCTCCACTAGATTTCGTTTGTCTTTTGGCTATTGCTTCAACCCCCCTCCCCCCGTCCCATCATCTTGCGATTTTATTTGTAATTATAAAAATAAAAACTTTGAAGAAACGGCATCAGTTTTCAAACAAAGTCGACTCCTTTTTTTCACAAGCTTAGAGGCTCTTTCAATGTTTCAAAGCATGATGGTTCGAAGATATCATGGCATAAAAATAAATTTCATGTGGATATTAGCGTCCTAGCAGACATGTAGCTAGGATTTTTTAGTTTCTTTATACTTATAAATGAAATGCCTGACAATTTTTTGTCTTTTCAACGCGGACTATTTTTAATAAAACACGAAACTTCATTTGTA